ATGCATTACTGTGTGTGTGTGTAAATGCATTACTGTGTGTCTGTGTGTGTAAATGCATTACTGTGTGTGTGTGTAAATGCATTACTGTATGTGTGTATGTGTGAATGTGTATGCATTACTGTGTGTGTGTGCGTGTGTGTGTGTGAGAAAACACATATGATGGATATTGGAAATTTACCTACAAAACAAACACCTCATTGCGGTTTTGTCAGCTTAGACAACTAGCTAAGTAATCATTTCCATTGATTCTTGAGTTTTGTGACAACAAGGATAAGTATCGTTAACTTAATGTAAATGAGGCTCAGCGTTAAATCTCTGTGGGGACAGAAATGCAGATCCCTGCTTGTGTTCGCGTGACAGCACCTAAACCAAAACACTGCTTCTGTCCAGATCTGCTTCGCTCTCTCTCTCCTGCACAGTTCAAAAACCAAACCCGAGAAAGACCATCCTCAGCCCTGCTGCCGAAACTCGGATCCTCTCATCCAGCTTTTTCCTCCCTCAACTTTGTGCTCGTACACCTTGGGGGGGGGGGGGGGTGGCAGATGTTGTAATGAGGCACGCAGATGGTCAGATGAAAGAGGACACTGCTTAAAAAGGGGACCTTTATACTCCCCACAACACATTCCCCTTTGATTAGCTCAGAGCTGCCATCACGGCACCGCGAGACAGAGACTCACTGTCAAAGGGCCTCGAACCCGAGTCCAACATATCAGGATATTTTTATGATATTTATATTGCTGTTGCTGCTTTACTTTGGAGTCAGCAGGAGCACACACACATGCAGCTCAGAGATTATTTCTTATAATGTCGCCCTTCAGGCTGATGCTTCATGGAGGCCTAGCGCCCCCTGGTGGTCAGACGCGGAAGTGGGGATTTGCTGGTGATGACTGTCAGCTGAAACGTCTCAGCCAGCACCCGGTCTGCAGTCACAACACGATGCTGTTTCTGCATTCAGAAACACAGGTCGTTTATCCAAAATGAAGGCCAGGCTCAAAACGTATTCCTCATGACCATCGTAGCATGAATAAAGCTGCTGCTGTTTGGTCATTGTGCCTGTCACCGTGCGAGGTGACTCACGGTGCCTGAACCGAGTTCATGTCACGGACGCAGAAGACACCAGGCAGAGCTGCTGTCTGGTCTGCAGGAGGCTGATGAGCAAGAACAGCACTGAAATGCATAATTATTAAAGCAAAAGTCACACACACACACACACACACAGTCGTGTAGCTAGGAAGCCTATTGTGCTGGGTTGCTGAATGGGTCCACCCAAGCCCACCATGTAAGCTGGACCCTAAAGGACAGAGACCTTCCACTTACAGACCATGACAGCATCGGCTGCACATGCATGACTGACTGATGTAACCGGTCTACGGATCATTTGCGGACGAATGATTTTCCTATGCACCCCCC